TTAACGACCCTTTTAACAACCCAGTTAACGACCCTTTTAACAACCCAGTTAACGACCCTTTTAACAACCCAGTTAACGTACCAGTTAACGTACCTGTTAACATACCTGTTAACGTACCAGTTAACGTACCTGTTAACGTACCTGTTAATGTACCTAATATTATACTAAAATTACTACTATTTGTCAAAAATTTAACTATTAAACTAAAGCTAAAAAATAAACATATAATAAATATAAATTATACTTATAAAATATACTAATAAAATCTTCTAAAATATGTTAATAAAATCTACTAATATAACAATATATAGAAGTAAAATTAAATATAAAATTAAATGTAGAATTATATAAAAAATTAAATATAGAATTAAATATAAAATTAAATATAGAATTAAATATATATAGATTATTAAAATTTTGTAGATATATATTTAATTATCTAACAACAATATTAGGTAGCATTTATTTTAATTTTGTTTTTTATTTTATAAAAAATTCATAATTTTTATTAGCTAATTAGCATATAATATTTTTTATATGATAAAAATTATTGTTTAATTGGCTAAACCAATATGCATAATCAGAATTATTATTTCTTTATTTGAATAACCTCTTCTGAATACAAACTACAAATCACTTTTGAGATTCTTCAACTAGGGAAGGCATAGGAGGAAGATAGAGCCAGTCTTAACACAAGGCGAGTGATAGCGAAAAGAAAGATGACACTACTAACAAACCTGAAGGCACTTAAATAACCATTGTACTAATCGACAGCACCTCAGGCTTTGTAGAAAACCCATACTCCTTATCAACAATCACTTAGCAAAACATTATTAATAACCAAACACCACCTCCTGGTAATTATAAATGGCTAATGTAATGTGTATATGACCTAAAGTTCTCTGATCTCGCAATAATGATCACTCTGTCACTTCGTTGACAAGCTTTTCATTGCCCAATTCAAGGTCATGGCACAATCACTAATCTAACTATATTTGTCAGGAAGTTCAATTGAATTTAATAAAAAAAAACCTTAAAACTAAAAAAAATTGAGACCGAGACCCGGGGCATCGCCCGGGTCTGAGATCTAGTTTCACTCTATTTACCAAGTTTATCATCCTTGTAGGGTCTCATGTGATTATGGAAAGTATCGTATTACACATTATTAGTAAAAAAAAATATTTATTTTATTAAATCACAAACAATGATTTTATAAACAAACTATAATCTACATGCAATTTTTTTTAAAAAAAAAATACCACTATTCTTTTCTACATGATCTAAACATTGCAAACAACATTCCATTGTATTATATTTATAAACTTACAAAACTTGCCAGAGTATATTGTTGAATCCAGTACTAGTCGGCTAATACTATATAGTTATTAGTTTAAATTTTCATTTTACTTCATCAATATTAAGAAATTCCAAACCCACTTACAATATATACGTAAGGTTGTTTATTATATTGTATAATGCGATTTAATTTTACTGCGCCAAGAAAATCAGACTTTTGTTATTTGTTATTTACCGGACTCAACCCTGACAAGCACATATATGATATGTAATTAAATTTACTTGCTTAAATATGTTTCTGATCAAGGCTGAGTTTAGTTAATAATAAATAATAAACTTAAAGCCGAAGCCTTGGCATCACTCATACAGTATTTGATAATGATAAATGAAGTGTGACATTGAAAAAATGGAAGCGTTAAATAATGAAGTTTTAACATGAAAAATTCCATCAGAAACATGCCTGATTATGAAAAATTAAGCACAAATTTTTCGTGAAAGGATTAGAATATAGGAAATTAATGTCGTCCGATCTTTTGAAATTATCATTGTCTTAATTGCATTTAGTCCCGTTTGATGTATTGAAAATGTTATTAATTCTTGATGTCATGCTCCTTATTACAATGATCCTGTAACAAGATTCGCAGAATTAGGATTTGAGCCACCATTTGACACGTGCCGCTTAGCTGGCTTAGCTGACTTAGCCAACCATGATGGCTTATCTAGCTGGTATTACAACAACGTTTCTACGTATTGAATATATTAACACTAATATGAACGTACGTACGTGTAAAAACGACGTGTAAAAACGCCAAGATTATTTATAAATGAGTGAAAGCATTTCAAAAGAACATATTTCGAATTTAGTAAATAAAAGAAATATAGCGTTGTCTTTTTAGCTGTGATAAACTTTAGTTTTAAAGGAAGCTATTATATATAATGATATATTTACATGTGTTTACCATTTTAATTTGACAAAATAAATCTATACATTTTACCAGTTATCGTTATAAATATAAATATCTATCAACGTATAAATAAAAATTAATATTCATCATGAAAATTCTCTTCTTAATCATAAGGAACATTATTTTCAATTCATTTTTTCAAATTTCAACAGCAGCATCTTTTATAGATTATTCTTATTCATCTGTGCAAGATTTATACGATGCTATTCTTAACACATTGTTTCCAATCATTTTTGTCATTTTATTTAGTGTCAGAGGTGAATCTGGACGTATTAAGAAAGTAGTATTACCATTATTAGATGATATATTATATAATATTATCACTTGGTTAATTCCACTGATAGTTGCTTTTACTTATGGTGATACATTATATATAAAGATGTTTTCAATTGTAAACATGTGTTTACATGTATTTTGTGCTGTATTCGCAATAATTAAGCATGAAACAATTAAAGGATCTAAAGGAAAAACTTATTCAGAATATATTTTTTTATTTTTAGTATTCTTTCCAGTAATAGTCATCCCAATGTTTTGGATAATTATTATTATTTTTAAACATTCTTCGGATCTAATTAGTTTAATATTTCTTGTATTATTTGGATTATTATTAGTATCGGTAGTTTTATTTATACTTTTCTTGGGTTTTTATATTTATGGTTTATTAGACTCATTTGCTCTTATATTTCTTTATATACCAAATATTTTAGATATTTTCTGTTCTATATCATTTTATGCTCCAAATATCTTGCAAACATTCTTTATTTTGTTAAAATGGCCAATTAATTTTTACTTTGTAAAAGCATGTGTATTCATATTGGTTCTATCTTCAACAAGAAATATGTCTTATTATACTGATAAGGTTCCTGATGATTTTTTGGCTACTTCAACTGCAATAACTCAGCATAGGTTGCGTGAAGTGCTAGCATCGGATATTTATATGAAACCCGAAGGATCAACAAATGTATAAAATCAGATTTTATTACAAATTTCAAAAATCTTTGGTTGACTTTAAATTCAAAACCTACTATCGGTTTTATAAAATGGTATCGTATTATATTTATCGTTATTATAAATTTTTGCTGTAAATTTAAAATTAACATCAAAATTGTAATTTCGGTTATCAATGCATATAGATATATAGATATATAAATTTTTTGTTTCACTCCCGACAATATTGTAAATCTGGGATTACCTTTGTTGATACTTTTGGCACTAAAGTGATATTTCTTGTTTTTTGAATAATTATTCTGAAGTACAAGTTATGTAAATCATTTTTTTATAGTACATTTGAAATATCGGGTGGGTGGGTAATTGATTGCACTTTATCATTCATATACCTATTTTAACTTTATGTTACTATTTACTTCTTTATTTAAATCGAATTGAATATTATTTATCTATTTGGCAATTTAAAGAGATGAACTAGTTATTACTATTAAAATAACTTGCTCCGATACATGGTTAAATATTCTAGCTATCTATTATAATTCTATAACTAGATTATGTCAACAGCCCTGAATAATTCTTTAGAAATGTAGGTTGCTCATACATTAAAAAAGCCGATTTTATTCTTGCCACTATATACCATATACACAAATTTAAGTTTTGATTTAAACATCTCACAAAAGCGACACTTAGGCCTAACACAACTCGCATATACAATATTCTAAATTCGATGCGATCATATAACTTACAAGAAAAACTATTGTTGTTCTGGAAGTGTTGGTGCTGGATGTTTGTAAATCTTCTTTTTCCATTCTCGTCGCTCTTCCTTTTTTTTTGTTAAAACCATAAATAAAGGAGGATATAAATAAAACGGAATTAAAAGATAATAATCGCGAATATATATAATGGAAAGATTTGTATTATTGACAGAATCGAATATCTTGAGATCCAGTGGTCAAATCTATCTTGTCACTGTATCACTCTGATTCACCTTTCCATTATATTTAAAGAAATACTAACATCTGTCATTCCAAGAGTTAATCCTTTCCATTGTCCAGCCCATTCATATACGGACATAATAGTTGCCATTCCGAAACAAGCTCCGAACGCAACCGGGTATGAACGTGCTTTTCATTTGACCACAGATTATTCCATTGATTTTTCGAATTAGATAAAAAATGAAATGTGATTAAAATATGATTAAAATGATAAATTATAAGAATTAATCACTATACAATTTCTTATGTCGTGTTGCAATAACTTTCTACATACAAATTAACAATTTGACAACCTAATTAAAATTTCGATTATATGTATAAATCACCAATTGTGAATACCTCTTATTCCTGCTGTTAATCCTGCCGTACATCCTGCAACGGCTCCATTGACCCAATCATCAGTTTTACGAGCATTCGCGAGTATGGATTCCGTTCCCGCAAAGATACCTCCTATTAAAGCTATTTACAATAATCACAATAAAATATTTGTAAGTTAATCATAAATTTTATTTAATATTAGTCCTAATAGAAAATATTTTCATTTTCTTGGGTACGCAATTGTTTAATCAACAATTCAATTGCGAACAATAAATATTTAAATATAACTCCAAAAATTAATTGATGAATGCTACATTATACAATTCTCTCACACCTACCATATCCTGTAATAGTTTTTCCTGTTCTAGTAATGACACCAGCTGCTCCATATTCATGTCTAGATAGTGCATTCTGTACCGCTGAGATTAATAACCCAAAAGCTCCAAACCCTGTTGTATATTTAAGTGTATGAGAAAATACATCTTTTTCAAAATATATATCACTTTCGTTGATAGTAATTGGTCCTGTTGCTTCAGTTTCTAATGTTGATGCTACTACTGGTGTCGTTGGTTGAGATTTTGTAGATGTAGACATTTCGATTAAACGTAAAGTGATTACCTGTGCAACTGGTTTTTTTTTAAGATCGTAACACGTTACACGTGTGATTTATCTTGTGATCATGATATTGGTCATCATTATCGTTATATGCTACTACTTCCATTTTAAGAGTTTGAATATCCGGCATTTAAAAAGGGTCCCACAAAACCCTCTATCTCTATCACAATCAAAACGAAAAATGCAGAAACCAATCATTCGCCAAAAATCGCTCGAAAAAATTTTGGAAGGAAGTGATATCATCAAATTTGAATGTTTTGCATACAAAAATATAGAAAAAATTGGAGAAGGTAAAGTCCTTTAATTAGTTAATTTTTATAAACATCATCTAATAAACTGCCATTTATGTCAAAAATAAAATTAGTTAAGTTTTATAAACATAATCTAATAAGCTGCCATTTATGTCAAAAATAAAATTAGTTAAGTTTTATAAACATAATCTAATAAGCTGCCATTTATGTCAAAAAATATTATAAGGTACATCTGGTATTGTTTATTCGGCAGATTATAATGGAAAAAAGGTCGCATTGAAAAGCTTTAATGGTGACGAAGTGAATAAAAACTTTATTAACGAGGTAATTCATTACTCATTGTTTTCTAATGTCTAGTTTTTGTCATTTTAAATCTAATATTATTTATAGCTTAAACTATTACATGCTATTAATCTCCATCCTAATATCATTCAATTCCATGGAATTACATGCGGTATGTCGCGCCTGAAGCTGGAAATTAGGGATCTCCATTTAAAAATCCAAATCCACTTATACATTTTATTATCAAAACTAACCCTAAATCCTAAGCTAACTATAAAAAAAAAAAAACTAAAAAAATGCACCCCAAAAATTTTGAAAATTTCATATTAAAGTATTTAAAATTTCCAGCTTCAACAGTTTCCAGCTTTAGCCACGACAATATATATTGCACAATAAATATTCTTTAAATAATACTTTCTAGTTATGATTTAATTAGATCCTGAAACAAATAAATTCATGCTAGTACTACAATTTGCCAATGGAGGGAATCTACAGCAATATTTGAAAAATAAATGGCATGAAGACACTTTTAAAATTTCATTCGAAGAAATTATCCAAATTGCAAGACAAACAACTAGTGGGTTAGAGCATTTGCACAAAAATAATATAGTTCACGGAAATTTAGTAAGTACTAATTTACTTATTATTCTAACTCCTAATTAATTTTTTATTTTCTAAAATCATAAATTATTTGTTTAATAATTTATTAAGCATTCTAAAAATATCTTAATTAATGATGATCAAATATTAATTGCGGATTTTGGGCTATCAGGAAAAATATATGATAGTTTTATTTCTTCATTTTCAAAAGGGATGCCTACATACCTTGATCCATATTGTTGTCACCAGCCTGGGAGAAAACCCGATGAAAAATCGGATATTTACAGCTTAGGAGTAATATTTTGGGAGCTTACAAGCGGAATTCCTCCATTCGCAAATGCTATTTATCAATTTACCATACTTATACTAACGATGCAAGGCTACCGGGAACAAACAATTCCCGGTACGCCAACAGATTTTACTAAACTTTATAAAAAATGTTGGAATACTGAACCGAAAGAGCGCCCAACAATAAGTGAAATTCTTGAGAATCTTAATTTAATGCTAAAAAAAGAAATGACTGAATTTATTATAAATTGCAATAAAGAACTCAGTCTTGATTTAGACGCAACATCTGTCTTAGATACAACAGATTTAGATGCAACATCTGTCTTAGATGCAACAGATTTAGACGCAACATTTGTATTAGATGCAACAGAATCGAATATTTCTCATCCTATTAAATGGTTTGAAAAAATAAAGGATAATATTTCTGAAATTCTTGAGAATCTTAATTTAAAATCAAAGAAAGAAACAATACAATTTATTGAAGCACCTACCTTAGACACAACAAAATCAAGTGTTTCCTGTCATTCAAAATGGTTCGAAAAAACAAAAGACAGTATTGCCGAATATGGATTTTCTGCATTTGAAAATATAAAAGTAATTGGAAAAGGTGTGACTTCCTTAATTATTTAAAATTTTTATTAGCGAAATTAACAATTTATATTTCTAACGTTATATACACAAGGTGGATTTGGTGTTTATTCGGCAGAATATAATGGAGAAAAAAAAGCCTTGACAATGACGATGTGAATAAAGAAGTGTCCAAAGAATTTATTAAAGAGTTTAAAGAGGTGATAAGTAATTTAATTTTCTATTGTCTGCCTTCGTTATCCAAATCATCTAATTTCAATACTATTTATAGCTTAGACGATTATATAACATTAGTCCTCATCCAAACATTAACCGATTCTACGGAATTACTCACGGTATTATAATAATACATATTACATGCTTAAATAATGTATTATTTAAATAGTATTTTATAGCATTAATTAATATTAGATCCAGAAACAAATAAATTCATGCTGGTACTACAATTTGCTAACGGAGGGAACCTGCGGCAATATTTACAAAATAAATGGTATGAAGGTGTCTATAAAATAAAATTCGATGAAATTCTTAAATATGCAATTCAAATTACTTCCGGGTTGGGTTACTTGCATAGTAATTATATAATTCATTGCGATTTGGTAAGCATTAATTTATCTATTCCTAAATAAGATTTGTTTTTTTTTTTTGAAGTCATAAATTAATTAATTAATAATTTATTGAGCATCCTAAAAATATCTTAATGAATGATGATCAAATATTAATTGCGGATTTTGGGCTATCAAGAAAAATAGATGATAGCTATACCTCTTCAGCTTCAATTGCAAAAGGTGTGCCAGCATACATTGATCCGTATTGTTATTGCCAGCCTGGAAGAAAGCCAAATGAAAAATCAGACATTTATAGCTTGGGAGTAATATTTTGGGAGCTCACAAGCGGAGTTTCTCCATTCGCTAATGCTATTTATAAATTTGCCATACTTTGTCAAACATCAGATGGTTATCGAGAACAAACAATTCCAGGTACACCAACAAAATATGCTAAACTTTATAAGAAATGTTGGAATGCTGAGCCGAAAAAACGTCCAACAATAAGCAAAATCCTTGAGGATCTTAATTTAATGTCAAAAGGAGAAACAGATCAATTTATAATGAATGAAAACACGGACCTTATACCTAAAAAGACAAAAGATCTTAATTTTACGTTAAAATATTCTTTATTTAATATCCAGTAATCATACAACAAGTATCATTTATTTGATTAAGTTTAATAAATTACATACAATGAAGGGTTTCGTAATTAAAAAAAAAAAAAAGCGTATTTCGGAAATAAATAGGATATTCAAATTTTATTTGTTTCCAAAATTTTGAGATCGGAAAAAGAAATGTAATGTTTGGAGACTGGGAAAATCATTGTCTGATACTTGCTTTCAGCTAGGGGTTTTCCTAGTCCATTCCCCAAATTAGCAAGCTTTTTAATAACAATGATCGTTAATTTAAATTTATTGAAAACGAAATAAGATTAATACATCCTTATTTGAAAATAAATCATTGTCTATTTCAATAAAAATTAGTTCATTTTATTCTGAAAGCCTTCAATGAGGGATTCCAGAATTAAAAAATTAGCATATTTTAGAAATAAATAGGGGTATTAAAATCTTATTTGTGGTTCAACTTTTTGAAATCGGAAAATGAAATAGGTGTGTTTAGAGGCCTCTATTTCATGAAATTAGTAACCTTTCTATGATAAATATAGATGTTAACATTCCGGTCTGATCCGGTCTTTAATGATTTATATCTTAAAGATTTAAAATGTCCAGACTGGGTTCAGACTGGTCCGGTCTTAAGACTGAGAGAAGACCGATTTATTTTTCAAAAAGAGCCTCTAAAATACTATACTACTATAACGAAGTATAAAAAATTAGGATTAGAGTTTGTTTTTAGAGCCCTATCAAGATATCAAATAAAAAAAAAATTTTTTTAACTTATAAAATCAGTACTGCTGATTAATCAGGAATAGTATTTACGCGTTTCAGATTGGTCTTAAGACTAGGGTGGAGGGCACAGGGTTCTTGGGCATGCCTGGCATGCCTTTTATTTGATATTTAAAAACGCATATAAAATGAATGCACCTTCTGATTGGTTAATATTAACCACAATCACAAAGATAATATATGCTAAATGCAACCTCCCTAAATGCATAGTCTATGAAAAATCTCTTTAAATGCATGGTCTTATTTGGTCTCAATTTATATGATACATACCCTAAATGCAATACTTCTCTAAATGCAAGATTTTTTGATTTTTTAGCGATTACTTGGCACAACGTTGTAATGAAAAGCTATTTGGCACCGTTATCCCCCAGCCGTGTCGTATAAGGTGATATAAAGAAAAATGAAAAATTCGTACGTATGTACTCGAATTTTTTTTTTTTTTTTTTTTTTTTTTTTTAACGTACAGTACGTGATGTACTTAATTTTGCCCAATTTTCGTACATTTGTACTACTGTACAGTACTAATTTACTAAATACCTAATTTAACAGCCAATCATATATGAAAGTCTACAAGTACTCTTTATCATGTTCTGAACATGAGGAAATCTCAAAAATGGTTCGAAAAGCCGTTGAAAGACAATGATTACACTGAATTTGGATATTCTATATATAAAATATAGAAAAAATTAGAACAGGTAATGTCTTTAATTAGTTCATACTTTATGAACACAATCTAATAAGCCGGTATTTATGTCAAAAAACGTTATAGGGTGGATCTGGTACTGTTTACTCGGCGGATTATAATGGGAAAAAGATCACATTGAAAGCTTTAATGGTGACGAAGTGAATAAAGAATTATTAACCAGGTGATTCATTACTCATTGTTTTATAATGTCTAGTTTTCATCATCTAAATCTAATATTATTTATAGTTTAATTATTACACACTATTAATCTCATTCAACACCATGGAATTACATGCAGTATTATAATAATATATGTTGTACATTATTCATAAATAAATATTCTTGACGTCTTCACCGCTCGATTTTCAAATTATTACACCCCGGTCAACATCCTCAAACACGATGATTTCTTCTCGGAATACACGCTTCCCAACACATTTGTAATTAACCATCTCCTCTCCAAGCTACAAAATCGGATAAACTCAGAATACACTGGACAAGTATAAGATTTCATACAAAAGATTGGTAATTTAATCGATAATCACTGTCTGATGTAGCGCGATTAAAACAGATCTATTCGAGAATCTCTGGCGACGTCTCCACAAAGAATAACAAGGAACAACTATTAAAGGAAATATGCCAACATCTAAAATTGGATACCTCATGCTCGAACAAAACCATGCTAAATGCAATCTTTGACAAATCAACATGGTTACTCTCAATCAATTCATTCTAATATTTCTGAATTATTTTATTATAAAGTAATTTGTGCTGAATATCATATATTAAACAAAGTAACATGAAAGCATACAATCACATTCAAATCATTGTAAATGAACTGAGAGTCATCTTCTCTGAACCCCTAGCATGATACCTCAGAGCACGCTTCAACCCGAAACACAATCGAATCATGTTCACAACAAATCTTTTGCAAGAAATTTTAAATTACTACACCGATGAGATCAAAAACGATGGAGGCTATATCGATCCATGTTACATATCGGCCAAAGATTAATCCTGGCCATTTACATGAACGAAGAAAGAGTTTCCTTAATTACATGATTTATAAGGATACAATATCATGCGAGAAAATACAAAAGGGTTTGACCGAATTTCAAAACATTGCTTTTATAGATCTTGGAGGATTCGAAAATTTACGAACGAGTTTCAACCCTTTTTTAGATTAATTTTATTTCGATACAGAAAAATATTCATTTATAGTTAACTGTCTAGTACTAAAAGTGTTTTCATAATGTTTAATAAATGAAGTTACATTTTTTCGTATATTAAAGTTTTCCAATGTTTGTTTTATCGACTCGTTTGATTTTCGTGTCCAAGAAATCGTTAAATTTCTTTCGACCTTTGGCAGAGTTAATAAACACTTAGCCACCTCCATTTCCTCGGTAAGACTCGTTCTGCCCTCTCTTACCAAAGAAAGAGCCCGTTTCATACCCACACCCTTCATACCCTCACAGTAATCGCATCCAGATAGCACGCATGCCTCGATAAACTTTTCCCTTCCTCCGAACAACTCTCGTACCTTCTCACAGTTTATTTCATTACATCCCCTCTTTCCAAACCCCGTCAAGATCCGTTTAGCCCCGAACGCAATGGAATCGAGATCGTCAGTCACAACGGCATACACCAAACCACGCATCTCCAATATCGCGCATTGCGCCTCGGCCTCCCCCGGAGCTTCCACATAACACAATCCAAGATCTTGCAAAAATCGTTTCCAATCATCCCTCATCTCCTTTACTAACAGTCCCACATCACCACGACCTTTTTCTTGAGGTGGATTCCCGTCAAACACAAACAAAGGTCGGATCGAATATTCAAAAACTTCGTTCAAAAAATTGTACAGCCCAATCATGTGCGGTTGTTTCGTCTTTTCCTCCATCACTTTCACGAAACGACACATCAGAAACGAAGCATCAATAGCAATAACTCGTCCATAATATTCTCTTAAACCACGTTTGACAGAATATTGAGGACACTGTTTACGAATAAATGGTGCTAAACCTTTGACACCCATCTCGCTAAAAAAAGAAAGTATTTGAAACCCAACGATTTTTATTATTTTTATAAAGTTACACTACATGCTTTTTGCCTGATACAAATCAAACATTGTTACACTATGTATAAGAACCTCTTTCACCTAAATCAGAATACGATAAATTTTGCTAGACTTTATAAAAATGTTGGAGTTTGAACCGAAAGAACGTCCAACAAAAAGTGAAATTCTTGAGAATCTTAATGTTAAAAAAAAAGAAACAATGCAAATTTATTATAAATCGCAATAAAGGACTTATAACCCGATTTAGACAAAATACCTGTCTTCAATGCAACACCTGTTTTTAAATGCAATAAAAGAACTTGGATCTAATTTATGTATTAGATGCAACACACTCACTGTCTTAGATACGTACGTACAAAAAAAGAAACACCTGTCTTAGATGTAACAGAATCAAACATTTCCCATCATTAAAAATGGTTTGAAAATCAAAGACAGTATAGTATCGCTGAATATGGATTTTCTGATAGAGCTCCAATCCATGAACCATTTATCCGGATATCCAATATTTGATGGATATAATTTGATAAAATAGATTAACGCGTTAATGAATAAACAACCGAATTATCCAATAAATTATTCGGATTATTTTGAAAATTAAAAAACAAAAGTAATCAACAATATAAATTCATTTGACAATTACAAGTTCTAAGGTAATCAATAATATAAATTAAGAAAATTCTATTTACATGCGGGTGATACGTATTAGAATTTCTCTAATTTATATCGTTGATTATCTTAGAACTTTGTAATATCTAATACATTGGTATAATTCGGTTAAACCATTTGGTTATCCGATTTTAGAGACCACGGACATATGCGGTCGCATAATATGCGCATAAAATGCGATTAATTGTTATTGTTTTTACGAGATTTATGTGGCATTTGTGCGGGCATTTTAAACGCATAATAAAAGCATATGTATATAATTGTTAAATTTCTTTTTTATCATCTTAAATTCATAACTATCACATTATACAATGATAAATCAAATTTATAACAATACGAAATATGCACATGGTTCCTCGCATAAATATCGCATAATTTGAAATCATCACATCGCATAGCAATGCTTTACAATGCGCATAATCTGGGGTCTCTATCCGATTTAAAAAGATGAATTATCCGAATATTGCATTGTTAAATAAAATAGTTGGCTGATTGAAACTATTTGAAAATGTATGAACTATTGGAAAAGGTGTGACTTCCCTAATTGTTTAAAATGTTTATTAACACAATTTTTAACAATTTATTTTTTCTAATGTTAAATATACAAGGTGTTGTTTATTCGGTAGAATATAATGAAATATTCGCATTAAAAAAACCTTGACAATGACAATGTGAATAAAGAAGTGTCCAACTAATTTCATACTATTTATAGCTTACGTAGACAATTAATTATAACATTAGTCCTCATCCAAACATTAACTGATTCCACGTAGAGACACCAGACATATGCGGTCACATAATAGACGCATAAAATGCGATGAATTTTTACTAAATTTTACTAAATTTAGATTTTTTATGCCGCACTATGTGGTGCACTTTAAATGCATAATAATTGCATCATTTGTAATTATCACAATAGTGATTTATTATATCACGACCTCTTTTGTTGTAATTATGATATTGATATGAAATCTAATTGAATAAAGTATTTTGAACGTTATGTAATTGTTACAATATCAATTTAAGTACTTTGAACGTTATAATTTTCTGTTTAATTTTAACGATGGGAAAAACCAAGTTTACAGCTTTAAAACGTGTAAATTCTGACATCTATAAAGATAATTTTTATAAATCGAATGATCAAATGTTCTGTATCACTTGCAGACGTGTTGTCAATCATGCTAGAAAATCTGTAATTGACAACCACATTAATTCGGTATCACATCAAAAAAGAAAACGTCTTATAGAATCGTCAGATAATATGAATCAACCAGATATAAACAAACAGGATAGTAATATAGCATTTGCCAAAGCATTTATAGAAGCCAACATTCCACTAGAGAAAATTAATAAATTACAGAATTATTTTAAAGAATATTGTATTGAAGGTAAATTAATTAATACAGTATATAATAACTTAAACTTTTTAATTAAATATAATTTTTAATTATACCGTAGATGATAAAGTTGTTGGTGCAAATCGAATGCGTGAATATTAACTTCTTCATTTTTTTAGTGAAGTAGATGAATTAAAGAATATTTTAGTTGATCAACGTATTTCAATTATGATTGATGAAACAACTGATGTTTGTGGGCATAGTATTGTAAATGTTCTGTTTAGCTTTCAAGATCAAACCAAATTAGTAAAAACAGAATACCTAGATTGTGTTAATCATTTGACAATTGCACAGTTAATTTTGTCAGCTTTAAATTTTATAATATCCCTATTCTAAAGTTATTTTATTTATTAGTAATAATGTAGCATATATGAAAAAGCCTATTAAGATTTATTAGTCAAGTTAATGCCTCAACTTAAGCACAATTGTTGTTTTGCCTATATTCTAAGTTTGGTTGAAGATTCTTGGATATATTTCAATTATTTTAAACTTCTTGGGCATATAACTACAAATATCAAAGAGGCTTTTTCTTATTCTCTTATTTGAAAAAAAAGATGGTTGGATTTTCTTTCTTCAAATATTAATTTATTAAATTCTTCTAATTTATCTTTAGAATCATTATTAGAATCTTCTGAACTTAGTATACAATTATCTTCATTATTTGTAAAAACCTATTGGAATATCTGGTTTAATTTTGTTATTTGGATAAAGTCATATTTTTTATATTTGGTTTGATTTTTTGTTATAAAAAACACACTTCACACTTCTCCAAAATCAATTAAAGAATTAGCTAAAATTTTTTCAAATTATGAAAATATTTTAGTAGTAGAAATGATTATTAAATTATTACTTTAAATGCTTAATAATAAGTATATTACATATATTAAATATAATTATATATACATATACTAATAAACTAATATATTTATTAGATTAATTCAAGACTTGGATTTTTTTAAAATATACAATAAACCTGTAGCATTTTATGTTTTTTCTCGAATTAGTCAAACTAATACTATACTACAGGCAGGTATTAAAAATCTTTTATTTAATATGTTTATACATAACAAAATTCAAAAAAGAAATTTAAATTTAATGTTTTTCAAGTTAATTTTTTACAAGCTTTTTGATTATCATTTGACAAACTTACAAAACATGTTGATAATCATTCTTCATTATTACTTTTTAAAGCAATATGATGTTTTGATCCTCAATTTATTTATTATTTAACCTCACAACAAGATATTAAATTTTATAACATAATAGAGGAATTTAAAATTTTAAATAATGATTTATTAAATAAATGAAATATTTATTGTAAATTAGATGAAGAATTAGGTGAAAGCTTAAACTTGGATAAATACTGAAAAGAAAAATCTAATGATTTACCTTATCTTTCAAACATCACTTTATTTTATATTTGGTTACCTATTTCTGATGTTGATATGAAACGAAGTTTTAGTAACTATAAAAATATTATAAGTAATAAGCGGCATAATCTTTTGCAAAATTCTTTATCAATGTTAAGCTTGCTTTATTTTAATAGACCTACTTAAATTTACAAGATAAATATATTTTTTTCTTGGTGCTGCATTTTTTTCTTGGTGCTGTATTTTTTTTCTTGGTGCTATATTTTTTTTCCTGATAAGTATTTGTTTTTTCTAGGCTGTATTTTTTTTTCTAGCAGTATTTTTCTTTTGATACAGTATTTTTTCTAATGCTGTATTTTTTTCATTAAAATATCTTTAATTTATAATTATTATATAATATAGTAATAATAACATTTGATAACAATAAAATATGCATAAGGTTTTTTATATATAATTATTGCACAATTTGAATTTATTACATCACACCAAAATGCATTTCAAATTGCATTTTTAGTGTCTCTAATTTTACAAAATTTCACACTGTATTATAATTAATACATATTGCATGCTTAAATAATTTATATATGTACGTATATATTATTTATAATTTAAATAGCATTAATTAATGTTGTGGCTATTAAAAGTCTAATCCTTTCAGTCCTGACTATGTAAATAGGAACTTCGATTAGGATTCGGTCTTTGAGTCAAGTTTGTGTATTCTCATAATAAAACAGAGTTGGAGATATTTTTTTTTGTAAGTGCCAGATAATTTCTCTCAGTTATGATGATGTTATAGAATGAGTTGTAGTATTAGTTTTATTATTAAGTTTATTATTAGTTATTATTAGTTATATTATTAGTATT